CCCCCCCCCATTTATGCATCTTATTTTGTTTCCCTATTTTCACCCAACTGATAATGCTTCTCATGACCCAAGTCTTTTCTTTCTTTCTTCCTTCCACCCTCTCTCTCTCTCCCTCCTTCCTTGGTTCATGAATTTTTAGGAGAGCACCTATGACTGCAAACATGCTGGATCTCAATTGCCATAACCCTAGGAAGCCAGGGACTTGGAATTGGAATCCAACATACCTGCAAGGGGGCAGAATCAGAAATACCAGAACTGTGGTTAACTTCATTGTGCTTTAGGGAGGCAGAAACTTCCTGATGCTGTTTGTGTGAAAAAGAGGATGGGTGAACTCTCAACTTCCTTTCTGATTTTTTTTTCCGTCCTCAGAAACTAACTGTCCCGGCGGCCAGTCCTGGAGTCCCGACTTGGAAAAGTGCATGGATTGCTCAGTGTGTCAACGTCAAAACAAGAACGATTTTTGCTCTACCTGTGAGTGGCTCCTAACTTTGCCTAGCAGCGTGGCGGAGCGTGTATGTCTTTGGCATTGCCAGGATAGCCTCTGGAGCCCTCCGGGAGAAAGGATGAATGGTTGGATGTTCAGCTACAACATATGATTCTTCGGGGTTGAATGTTCAGATAGTGAAACGGTTGAGAGCAGGCCCAGCCTGGGACATTTTGCCTCTGAGCCCAAAGTCAAGATGCTGCTTCGTATCATTGCATATTCAGAAGCCAATATCAATTAAATCAATTTGGAGATAGGATCCCATCTCTCAGGAGCTAACCATGATTCCTTTCCCTGTCATATCTGTCCCTGGAGAAGGCAGTCCTCTTTCTTTTCCAAATTTGGGCATGCAGGGACCAAAGTTTATTCAGGGATGGTCAAAAAAGCGAAACATTCAGCCTCAACCTCAGTTGATTAAAATTTTTCTCCATTTGTACCTAGGTTGCACAATCACAGCTCCACAGCACTCATGAAAGGGGGCGGAGCTTCAGGCACATGATTGTGGCCGCCATCTTGCCTTTTATGGACATTCAACCCACTGCTGTTAGCTGTAGATCTGCTAACTGTAGCCTTTGTTTTTAATTCTTCCCCTTTCTCTTGGGAGCAAGTGGCCACTTGATAGTGAGGTGGATGGCATATACATTTAATAAATAAATAAATAAGCAAGCAAGCAAGCCTTGGCATCTTCCTCCAAGCCTGAGACCACCACCATTGCCTTACGGTGGTCCAGATTTACCCTGGTGGCTGCTCTGTGTCATCTCAAAGCTCATTTTTGGGGCCTGGAGTTAATTAGAGTTCAGAAAGAAACAGGGGCTGTTTTTGGCCATCCTTTTTATGAGCAGGGATGTGCCGTTGTGCTGCTGGCAATGAAAAGGATATTTTTTTCCCCCACCTCTATTCCAACATTTAAAACTGGAAAGAGTAAAGTCTTTGTATACAGTTTTGTTCCAGTGCTTGTGGCAACTCTCTGCCTTGAGGGGCTAGGTAGGCAGGAAGGGAAATGATTTTTAAACAGTAGGTATCTGTTTCAGATGAAGAAATTGGCTGCGTCAGCCAAAGATCCTTTGGGATCAACTAAAGGCCATTTTTTCAGGGGAGTTTAAGGTGTTCTTCTCTCCTTGCTTTTGCAGGTGGAGACCCCCAGCCCATCAACTCCTTCAATTTGTGGGTGCTAATTGGGGCCTCGTTGGGTGCTGTTCTTCTGGCTAGTATCATCGCGGGCACAATCATTTATGCCCGCTGCCGAAGGCGAGAAAAATTCACCAGTAAGTTCTTCCTTTTTGTGGTGTTTCATCCTAGTTGAAATTGTTGCCAAGAGCAGTCCTCAACTAACAACCGTTCGTTTAGCGACCATTTGAAGTTACAATGGCAAAACTTGAAAAAAGTGACTTGATCGGTTTTCACACTTATGACCATCGCGCGATCAAAATCAAATGACCCTGGCTTGTATTTACCAACATACCAGAGTTATTTTATTGCCATTTGCAACCTTTCAAGCTGCCTCCCAACATGCAAAGATTATGGGAGGGGGGGAGATGGATTCATTTGACAATCATGTGATTCAATTAACAACTGGAGCAATTTGCTCAACAACTGTATCCTAAAAGGTCATAAAATGGGATATGATGTAATTACCAGTCACCATGCTTAACAAAGGAAATTCTGGCCCCAATTGTTGTAATTCAAGGATTACGGTGCAGTGAGCATCGGTGTAGCAAGGTCTCCACTTCACACTGATAAAACTTTTAACTATCTTTTTACTCTCTTTCCAGCCCCAATTGAAGAAACTGGAGGCCATTCAGCTCAAGAATCACTGATACACTGAAGGTGAGATCAGGATACTCCTAATCTCAGTTTCTTTCCTTTCCTTTCCTTCCTTTCTACCTGTGGGTGAAACTCTTCTATCGTTGTTACTAGAAATATCTATTGGTTTTATTGCTTTTGATGTTGTAAGCTGCCCAGAGTCTGGGGCGCAAATTAAACAAGTAAATGAATAAAGAAATAAAATGACACTTTAAGAAGGGGGAAAGAGAAACAAAGTTTCTAGTTCTCAAAAACAAACACAAAATGTTTAGCTTTCCCTTTTTTTTCAGAAACCTCTTGAATAACCTTGACCAGAAAACCTTTTTCTAGATAGTGAAACATTTACAGAATATTTGTGTGAAATGCAATGAAGTCACATCGTGATAATAGAAGTCTTTTTTTTTCTTTTGGCGTAGTTCCGTGTTCATTCCTAAGCACTTTCATGTTTGAATAATCTCAGAATAATCTCCTAGTACACATATTACAGGGACTGCCACCTGATTAAGTCTAATTTCTGAGCAATGCTGCCTAGGATTGTTTTGTTGATCTGATACTTCTTTTCCGAAAACTTCCAATTTCATATTTGGAATGAGCAGTATGTATTTCATTTCATATATATTACTATACTGATGACATCCTGCTCTTCATTGGATTTGCTCAAGTAAAGGAAATCATAAAGGTGGGATAAGAAATCCAATAAATTAATAATAAATAGATAAATGTCACTATGGCTGTTTTTTAAACTTAATGACAGCCCTGGGAGGTAGGCCAATCTGGTCTAAGAAAAGTCCCAACCTCTAGTTTCAGTCTGTTTCCAGTTTGTTTCCTTTCCCAAAACAATATCTCTGATATATTTTGGCATATCCTAGCTGTGATTCCCAACCAGTTGCCCTCTTCGGCTACTTTAAGATGAGTGGACTTAAATTCCTAAAATTCCCCCACCAGCCATGTGTGGACTTCAACTCCAGGAATTCTGGGAGTTGAAGTCTACACATCTTAAATTGGCTAAGCTGCCCTAGAGTGATGGGAATTTGGTGGGGACAATAAGAAAGAATCATACTGAGTGCAAATTTATCTTCCTTGTGTTATTTTTCCCACAGACCTGTTTTTTTTCACCACTTCAGAGTCAGGAAACGGCAAAGAAAACATCACTTTTGATTACCTCGACTTTCCTTGAAGCTGCGGGAGAGACATTTTTTCACCTACCCTGGCATTGCGGGGCCTTACACTTTGCACACTCAGCAACAGGCTGTGAAACCTACTGTCTCCTGTTCCCATTTCAGGAAGCAGGCCCCTCTGGGGAAAGGGCAACCATTTTCCTTGCCAAGTGCTTTATGCTGTGTGAGGTGGAAAAAAAACTCACTTCCGGCATATACATACCCCAGGCCTAATGCCCCATATTGGGGTGATTTGTTTTTTCTACAGGGGTTACAGTTTGGGGAACTTTGCAATTCCTAGATCTGCATTGTGGGCCTCTTCCTTTGTCGTTTCCCTCTGGGAAATGTTTTAGGGAAAACAACGAATGTGATTTTTAGATTATCTGTATATAGAGATATATTGGGTGCTAAAACTCTCCATGAGAGTGGAATATGAACTAGCCTCAACAGAGCTTCCTGCACCATTACTCCAATCAGTGGCTGGCCACTACATCAAAAAGAAAAGTTAGATGTAGTTCCAGATGTTCTGGACTACAACTCCCATAATGCCATGAAAAAATTCACAAATTGCCTTAGGTTTATGGGCATTTTACTCCATAAGGAGAGCATCGGTTTGGTTCCTCAGACTCTCCCTGGTATTTGTTTTTCCCTCTTCCTCTTCTCTTTGGTGCTCCCTGTTGAGACTCTATTTATGTCTTCTGCTCTCATCAGAGATTTTTAATTTTATGGTGTGATTGGTTTTTTTAAACTGCGTTCAGGAAAAAAAAGAGAAAAAAACTTTCGTTTCCTGACACAGCATTTGTGAACTGAGGTAAAATAAAAATACTTAAGTTTGGTATGAAAATGTTGCAAATTGTCCCCAGGAAGTAAATGTGAATATTGATGGGTTTGATATTGACCGCCCCACTCTAAATCATAGTTTGTTTAATGTATTAAATAAACCACAATTGGACAGATTTGCATGATACAAAAAGCTGAATAAATAATTTTAAGGTTTAGTGTGAGATTCTTTTTTTTAACCTTTTAAAGCATTCCACATAAATGAGATGAGTCTCCTTTTAGAAATCTTCTAAGGTCATTCAGCATGATGAGATTTCTAGAGAGAGGGAGGCATTATCTCTTGTGTTTTCTTTCCTACACAAGCTAAATGGTAAAGCATGTGTTATGTATGTATGTGCCATGCCAACAATCCAAGTAAAATCTCCACATAGCAGACGGCAGGAAACAACTTAAATTCTGATCAGAACAGATAAATACTGTGCTAATGAATAAATCAGTGTCTCAAATCAATTTGGGGGGCTTTCAGATGTCTGGACTTCAGCTCCCAAAATTCTTAGCAATGCTGCCTAGGGAATTCTGGGGGTTGAAGCTTATCGATCTACTTTCTACATTGTATATCCCTTGGAGAGCTCTTCAAGAGATAAGGGATCTTGCCTCTCCCAATTTGAGTCAGATTAAGACCCCTTACTGTTCGCTTAGACCAGTGTTTTACAACCTTGGCAACTTTAAAATGTGTAGACTTCAACTCCCAGAGGGGAGTCAACTCGCCAGCAGGGAATTCTAGGTATTGAAGTCCACACATCTTAAAAGTTGTCAATTCTGAAGAACACTGGCCGGCCAATGCAAATGGAGTGTAAAGCAGTCATGCTCTTCCCTGATTCATTGCTCTTTGGGGGTGTGATTGGTTTTTCATATAATTAGATAATTCAGTCAAAAAAATAATCAAGTATTATAAATAAAGGAGTTGTATTTTATTGTGAGAAGAATTCTGAAACACCAGCCTGCCTGGCCATCTTTTTTCTAAATCCAGAAGTACAGACAAAAACACATCTCTGCATGCTCAGGAACTATTTTTTCACAGGTCCTATTTTTTCACAGGTACAACTGATTTTTCACCACCTGGCCATCCCAACACAGACTGCCCCGTAGCTCTGTTGGAGACTTACTTGTCATTTAAATAGGAGGCACCAGTTAAAATCTGCACCTTCCTTCAAAGTGTTAGAGGAAAAGAGAGCTTCCAAGCTTTCTTTTGTGAGAAGGCAAACTGAGGAGTGCCTAGCTGGCAGGCAGGCATGGAAAAAAGTCTTCCTGTTTCCTTTGTAGCTAAAGTATAGCCTAAAGGCATCCTGATGTGCTTCCTCTCTACAGCTAAGTAGATGAGTCTAGCCAAGTTTTGGGAAGAAAGAGAAAAGTGCTTTGAAACACTAGCACTCTTCACAAATGAAGCTGAAATACAGATTTTTTTTTCAAGCAACAGTGAGGTTCCAGCAGCTATTGATTGTCAAACCTTGAGGAGTTTTAATTTCAATATGCTAGCAAAATGGGAGTTACTTCTGGCTCTTTTACAAAATTATTGGCTTACCAAATAGACTATACTCTTAATTTTCATCATATCTTGCCTCTGTTCAGTTATTCCTTTCCTTAATCCGTGCGGTGAGTTGGACTAGATGATCTACAAAGTCCCTTCCAACTCTGATTATCTGTTATCTGTACCTGGAGGCTAATGGAGGAGTTAGAAAGCTCACCATTTGGGACTTGAAGAAAACGAAACAAATCTTGTCTCTGAGCTCCCATATTTGTAAGCCCCAAATCATGGCTTCTTTAAGTTCGGGTAGCCTTATAAAACATCTCCAATCAGTTCTGTGTAAATTGGAGATTCAGCAGGTAGGTGGCCATAGACACTGCCATCTCTGAGGAGAATGCCTTTTAGGATTTTCTTCCCTCCGAAGGATTGCGGGCATCCACAAAATTAAGTTTATTTTGATGTTTTGACATTTGAGGAATAACCAGCTGACCTGGGTTTCTCTTTGGCTAATTGTTGTGGTTTGGGGTTCTTCTATTGTCGTTTGTTTTTTGGGTTGATGTGATGTTTTTGTGTGCAGTTAAGTCATCTTTATGCCCACAGAGGAAAACACTACTTTTAAAAATATGTGTTGAATAAACAGACTGCAGCACAATCATAGAGGAAAGTCAAGCTGAAGTGGTCACAGCACTCACGTTCCATTTTTGCTGGTACAATATAACTTAACAATAGAGTAACAGAATAATAGAGTTGGAAGGGACCTTGGTGGTCTTCTAGTCCAATCCCTTGCTCAAGCATGAGATCGTATACCACTTCAGGCAAATGGCTGTCCAATGTCTTCTGAAAAAACTCCCATGATAGAGCACCTACAACTTCTGAAGGCAAGTCGTCCCACTGAATAATTGTTCTAACTGTCAGGAAATTCCTCCTTCGTTCTCGGTTGCTTCTCTCCTTGATTAGTTTCCACCCATCGCTTTTTGTCCTGCCCTCAGGGGCTTTGGAGAGTAGCTTGACTCCCTCTTCTTTGTGGCAGCCCCTGAGATATTGGAACACTGCTCGATCATGTCACCCCTAGTCCTTCTTTTCACTAGTCTTTCTTTTCAATGTCATCCTTTTTGTTTTTGAAAACCTGCACCCCAGGTTTTTGAAAACCTGTTTCTTTTGAGGGGCGCAGAAAAGGCTTGGGGTGTGTTATTTTTTTCACCATGGCGCTTGCTAGTACAAATAGATTTCTATACAGCCTTTCATCTTCTTGATGCTAATTCTGTCATTCGATTTAGTTTTACTATCTCCCCATCCTTCAGGTCTACCTTTTACCTAATCTCAATTATTTAGTAGACCAGTAGATGGAGAATACTACAGGAGTTTTAAGAACTGAAGGTTTAAACAAACCTTTGTGTATTGTTATTATACAAACAACAATGTCGTTTCTTTAGCTGGTGTTGTCTTCATACAGAATAGAGTAGAATAATAGTTGGAAGGGAGCTTGGAGGTCTTCTAGTCCAACCCCCTGCCTAAGTAGGAAACCCTACACCAGTTCAGACAAATGGTTATCCAACTTTTTAAAAACTTCCAGTGTTGGAGCATTGGGAAGAACAAATTCTCAAGAATCTGGGATGTTGCAATGCATCAACGTAATACATGTGTGCATCCAAGCAGTGTGGCCTTTTGCAATTGACAGATGGAATTTTTGTCAATGCACAGATTTTTCTAATGACCTTCCGAGAATTTTTGGTATGGCACCAAGCAGATAACCACTGGAATCACCACAGATGGTTTGTTATTATAGTTGGTCACACAGCCAGATGTTTAGACCAAATTTGGCATTTTTTTTTATCCACCCAATGAGTCCTTCTCAGGGATTTGGAATAAGAAGGTATTGTTTAATGTTATTATTATTACGTATTATTGTGTGCATAATAATTGAAGCCTTAACCAAGGACCTAAAAGTTGTTAAGGCAGCATCTAAGAGTATAGTTCCAAACAGGGTAGTTTTTAGTAAAATTAAGATGTTTAGATCTGATTACTGAGGAAATCTTTTAGGTATCCCCTAAAGGGATTCTATGCACAGTTGCTGCAAAAATGGATTTCTTTTCCCATAAGCATTCAACTTCAATCTGCCAGGTATTCCATACCCTTTTTCCCCACCTTTTTTCTTAAGAAACTAGTCTTAAAAGATGATTGTTATTATTATTTCCACTTTTGCTTTCTTTTCACTAATTTCTTTTCCCACTTCTTGTTCCTGCTAATTTCCTTTCTTATTTCCCTATACTAATTTTTCCCCCTCTGTGCCGGCTTTTCTTTCTTTACAGCCTCTGGTTCCTTTTGTTCAGTTCTTCGCTGCTGCTGCCGCCTCCCCCAGAATTTCCTTCTCTGACTCATTCTCCCTTTTCTTCTCCTTGCCCTTATGGCCTCCTGGCTCTGCATTCCTGTCCCCTTAGTTCATACCAGCCTGTCCCGGACACCACCCAGTGACTCATCTGAAGGTGGCGGGGGCAGGGAGGAGGAGAGAAATAAGGCAAAATCGGAGGTGTTTCTCCCTCCTTGTGGTTGTGCTCTTCAGAACCTCACAGTACCTGAGTCCATCAGACCAAGCCAAACTCAACTTTCCACAACTTCTTCCCACCCCAATGGAATGACGGCCTGAAACAGCTCCATACCGGATTCAAACTAACCCGGGCTTCCCAAACTTAATTACCCAAAATGGGGGTAATAGTGATTTTGATTTGGATAACAGTACAAGAATCCAGTCACCAGAGGAATATTTCAATTGATTTAAAGCAGGAGTTGGTAACTAATGGCCCCTTTACCACCCGTGGACTTCAACTCCCAGAATTCCTGAGCCAGTTGGCATTCTGGGAATCAAAGTCCAAAGTTGCTCGCCCCTACTTAAAGGGATTTAACTTACATTGGGTAAGAGGACTTTCTGATAAGCAGCACAGGTAATGAAGGAAAATATTTTTATGCACTAATCTAAACTGAATCCAACTAAGAGGTGAGAAAATCTTGGGATATTCAGTCAGAGCTGTAACAATTGAATACTTACAGTACAAGTAGTCCTTGCTAAATGACCAATCGCTCAGTGACAGCCATTGACTTTGACAAAGTTACAATAGACACCCCGCCAAAAAGGTGCTTTCAACCCAGTTTCAGAGCTCCAATGCTTGCTCGCTCTCCTCTCTCCCTCCCCCCCCCTCTCTCTCTCTCTCTCTCTCTCTCTCTCTCACACACACACACACACACACACACACACACACACACACACACACACATACAATCATGTGACTGCATTTTCGGTACCTGGCAACCAGCAACCCCACACACACACAAAATCATGTGACTGCATTTTGGGTACCTAGCAACCAGCACACTTTTACAGCAACTTGCAGTGTTCCACAGTCACATAACCACAATTTATGGCTTTTTAATTTGGGAGTCAGTTTCCAGTTTCCAACCTTTTTCTGACAGTTCCTGGCAAAAATACCCACATAAATAAATGAATACAACCACTGCATTCACCTTAAAACTATCGCCTTTGCTTTAAAACTGCAGCATTTGCTTTATGACTGCTGCAAAAAATCAGGTCAGTCACATGGTGCCTCTATTCATGGATTTATGAGGGAAATTCTGGACTCCATTACAGTCATAAACCAAGTACTAACTGTAGAGGCTTGACAATATTTCTTGGGGGTT